AAAGGGGTCATGATAGCAAAAAGTTTGAAAACCAGTGTGCTAGAGAAGTTAGCCTCGATTCTGTAGGCAAGAGTGGTCATTAAAGCTATGTAGGCAAAGAGAACATAATCAGAGTCATGTTAATGGAAAGTTGTTGTATTGGAAGCCTTGAGGATACACTGTGATGGGGATAACATGAAGTTGTGGAAGTGATTTAGTTGGAATTACAACTCAGGTATGAAGTTACAAGGGGCTTGGACTATGGAAATAACAGTTGAATGACAATGGACAACACAAGAGAAAAGTAAATGTGACTTTATTATTAACTGAATATGAGTTGCTATTAAAGGGGTGCAAGGAGTAAAGATGATTAAAGTTGGACTTGTATAAAAGGAAGAAAGTTCTGCTTCTCTTATCATTTGAAGTACAGGATAAATGATACTTGATACCTAAAAAGAATTCATGAGATGAGTGTTGTCCAATAGCAATACAATGAAGACTACATTTATAATTCTAAATTTTCTACTAGCACTATTAAAAAAGTAAAAAGGTGAAGTTAATTTTAATAACATATTTTATTTAACCCAGTACATCCAAATATTATTTCAACATGTAATTAATATTAAAAAATGGAGATTTTTTTGGTGGGGTTACTAAATCTTTGAAATTCAGTGCATATCTTATATTTATAATACATATCAAATCAGGCTAGTCACATTTCAAGTATTCCATAGCCACAAGTGGCTAGCTTTAGACACAGTAGCTTTAGACTACTCTTTTTCTTGAGTCAAGGTGATCAGAACCCTAATGTCAATTTGTCTGGGGTTGAAAATAACTCTCTCCTTTTTGAGTTATTTACCCAGAAAGGGATGGATTTGTACTGAGTCATTTAACTCTCTTCCTTCTTTGTGATCTCACTGTGGTGTAGTATAATTACCTAAGGAAATGATCCAAGTAGTGGTGGCTTGCTTACTTGGAACTGATTCTCTGACCTGCCTTTTATAGATAGAATCTGGGGCCGGCCGAGTGGCTCAGTTGGTTAAGAGCTCGCTCAAGAGTTTGAGCTCTGAGCAACAGCAGTTCGAGTCCTGGCCCGAGCTGAGCAGCCGCTGAGCTGCCAACAGGTGGCAGGATGGCTCAGCTAAAAACAAAACAATACAGATAGAATCTGTATTGAATGTAGCTAATAAGCCCAGTACACTGATATTTGTCAGAGGAAGAGAAAACAGACAAAGTTTGAATTATGTGCAAAGACCATATTAATAGTTTTAAAAGGTTAGGAAAATCAATGAAAGAGGGCAGCCATTTGGGAAGGTAAGGAAAACAGATAATGTAAGTATTATACTTTTAAAAAGTTTAAGATTTTAGCAGTGGCAGATGAGCTAAGACACTGTTTGATATTCCTCATTATCCATGTCCATGAGGTGTCATTATTTTCCTTGTTTGTGAGACCTGAACTGTTCCATGATGTAAGCACATTGTAGGTACATATTGTGAAATCTCAATAAAGATCCCAAAACATATGACTATTTTTATGGAAAAGAATTAACAATCGAAAGAAGAAGGAGGAGGAACAAAAGGAGAAGCCAAGTTTCGTAATGCAAAGATTTCTGGGATCAAACAATGAGTGGAGATGTGTCATGTATTTCTTTAAGGACAATGTGAGTTTAGGATGGGAAAACATAGTAAAATGAGAAATGATTTGACCTTGATAGTATATAGCAAATTATCATAGTATGCCTCCTAACCATATGCTCATTCCATGATAAGTTCATGTTCCAAGGTGCAATGAGAAATTAAGAATGTATAACATTGGGGATTCTGGAAAGAATAATAACAAAAGAAACCTGTATGATAAAAAAATTTCCAAACAACCACATCCAATGAATAGGCATTTTCAAAGTTCAGTTATGACACACATTTATTTGCCTTATTAATTTGGAAGGTTATTCTGCAAATGTATAAGATCTTTGTAATTTCAAGTCCCTATTCCTGCTGCCCTTGTTATGTAAGAGTTGCTTAAAGTCTTTTTTGCCAATGGGTTATGAATTCCTTGATTATTTGTTGTCGTTGCTTTCTTTTGATTATGAGAATCCAGGAGTCATGATGTAATGTTGCTATGGTAATGAATATGTACAAATAGATGATTAAGGGTGGGGAGAAGGTTAAGTTTTGTGACACATTTGCATTTAAATTTTAGTGAAACAAAAACGTCTTGCATTTAAATGTTTTCCTGTTACGTACAAAAAATATGAAAGATGTGTTATAGCACATCTTGAACAATGTATTTGTATTGCTTATATTAAATAACAGGAGTCAGTCAATGTGCTCCAAAAAGTTATTTTCTCAATACTATTTCATTTAAAAAGATATTGTATAAAGATTGGATTAATTTCCATGTATTTATTTATATATGTATGTATAAATAAAGTATACTTCTTAAGTAGAAATTGGGACATGTTATAAGGATGAGGATCTTTTCTTGATTGCCTTAAAGGTGGCCTTAAAGGCTCGAGCATATAGAACTATTTATAAGTGCCCATAAATATACTTTGTCAGCTATTGAGATTGAATATATTGAGAGTAGTTAACTTCATACTTCAAAATTTCTGTAGTATTGATGCTGGAGGAAAGACATGCATAAGAGGACACAAGGAAATAGTATTTGAAGACCCAGTTTAAACTACTCCTATAAATTAAGAATTTAGATATTTGACATATTAACTTTGTTGTTGTTACACCACAGAACTTTGCACCAAGAATTCAAAAGATCCTGATTCTTTCATTGGCTGACCATAGGTTGACTGGCAAGGTACCTAACAACTCTTTAGGTTTTTTTTTACTGTGCTGAAGACAAAGATCTTTGCTATCTGTTGAGGATTCATTAGACTAGCACTGTCCAATAGAGATATTATTTGAGCCACATAAATAACTTAAAATTTTATAATAGCCATATTAAAGAGTAAAAAGAATTAGGTGAAATTAATTTTAGTAATATATTTTATTTAACCCATTATGTCCAAAACATTATCATTCAACATGTAAGCAATAAAAAAATTAATGACATATTTTACATTCTTATTTTGTATTAAGTTTTTGAATTCCAGCATGTATTTTATACTCACAGCATGTGTCAGTTTGGACTAACACATTTCTAGGGCTTACTATCTACATGTGGCTACTGAGTACCACACCATGTGGACAGTGGATACCATCGTGGGCAATGTACCATTAGACTAAGAGGAAAGCATGGAGTTTGTTAGAATATTGAAGTTATTCAATATCAGACATCTCAGGATAATAACCTGGCTTTCTTAGAAGATGAGAGCTTTCCAACCTGCAGGGATACTACTTACTATATTCAAGAGACACAATAAATATGTGGGGAATAAATACCTGACATTAATGTAATGTCTTATAGTTTGACAGTGTATTCACATTCACTACCTTTTTTAACCCCAGTCATGGGTATGAGAAATAAGAATGAAAGTTCCATTTCCTTTTGAGGAATCAGGCCCATAGAGGACACTGAATCCTGCTTGTTCACCTCCAAATCTCATGATCCAACCGTAGATCCCAACCTAGGGTACAGTTACCAAATAATGAGCATGCCAATGCAAGAAAAATATAATGTGTCCTAGCAATTTGTTGCCTTAAAAAAAAAAGCATCTGTTTTGTGGGTGTGTAGAAGGGCTCAGGCTTGTCCCAAATCTCCTTTTTTTTTAATTGTTTACTTGGATCCAGAATAAAATCAGAACAAAGTATTTTTATGCTTAGGAATGTTTAAATTCATCCAAGGTGGTGGTGGTGTGATCCTTAGGACTGTTTACCATCATGCATCGAAGTCCAACAAGCATTCCCACCCCCGTACTGTGGTCCTCTGTTGGTAAAGTCATTTGTATACCTCATTCCACCATAGGTCTTTCATAGACCTTTTCAGAAAGAACAGTTGCATTATTTAGAGCTGAGCTAGGTGGAAAAGCAAGTAATATTTCTTACTCTAAAGCAATTAATTTCTACGACAATCACTTTTCAAGATGCCCCGTAACAACAGCAATAACACTAGTATTGGTGTCTTGGCTTTTTGTGTCGTTTAGGTTAAAATAATACCATTTACTTTAATGTACGTATAGACTACATACATGGATTAAATTTAGGCTGATTTCTATTAATTGGTAATGTTTCCCTTGTATTTTGAATCACAGTGCACATAGGACGAGCACTCCTTAGGTAATACGCTTCCAGGAATTTAAACACTACACAAATAAGTTTCTAATATATAACTTTAAATCATTCTTCACCTCCCCTTATTTCGTGTGAATGATCTCCCCCTAGCCCCACTATTTTTCAATTGCTGAAACGGTAGCTGATTATCTTCCATAGGATGGGTTCTCATGCTCCAAGTATGAATTACACATTGCAGATGACCACATTACCTGACGCAGGTGGCCTAGCTTTGGTCGTCATTCATAGGGAAGAGGGTCACAGGAAGACATCAGCCAAGAGATGAAGTTTGTTAAACCAAAGCTACGGAGAGCCAACGCAGTCGACCAGTTGGTTATTTTCAGGACTGGACAGAGAGGGCGCCCTTCCACCGACGTGCGCACAGGCAGGACGCGGCAGTGGAAGGAGTCCGGCAGGAGTACCTGGGGGCGTCTCATGTCTCAGTCTAGCTAGAAAAACCTTCAGGGCGCTAGACTACAAATGAATGTCAAGAGACCTGGACCGGTGGATCTTCTGTGGAAGACTACAGAGAGGACCCCAGGAAGCAACTCCTGCAGGGCTTATGTTTTCCTAGTCTTAGTAGGGCTTTCCCTCTCACCCTGACCCCTACCTCCAGTTTTGGGGAGCTCCACGCCACCCAGTCCCTTCCTTTCACTCAGCTCTGGGAGATCTCACTGCCTCGCCATCGGCCGCCTTTTACCCCCCTGCTGGGCAGCACCAAGCCGCAGGCCTCTGCGAGAGGGCACAGGGGGCGGAGGCGCGGCAGGGGCGGGCTCGTCACCCCTCCGCCCCCCTCACAGCCCAGCTGCTGGGGCCAGTGGCAGGAGCGCCGCACGCTGCCAGCCGCAAGGGGCGTGGGATGTGGGAGGCAGAAGAGGGGGCGCCGGCTCGGATCAGAGCCAACCGCACACTTCAAAAGGCTGTGGGGCTGCGCTTCCCTCCTGCGCCCCGGGAACTTCAAAGCAGCTGGCACTGTCCCGGCGCCTAGCTCCGCTCTGTGGCCTCGCAGCGCCAGCGCGGCCGCTTGGTGGCCATGACCCGAGCGCTCTGCGCAGCGCTCTGCCAGGTTCTCCTGCTGCTCGCCGCAGCCGCCGCTCTCTCAGCAGGTACACGGGCACCCCTTCCCACGCGCCCACGAGAGTGGGAGTCGGGGGCAGTCTGCGGGTGGGCACGCGGGCGGAGGAGGAAGGTGCTCGGAGCAAACTGACCTTCCACAGGGCAGAGTGGGAAGCGCAGGTGGACTGAGGGGGCGTGGGATAGGGTGCAGCGTGGGCACCTGACGTCTGGCAGCTGTAGGGATAGACAGGTGTGTCGAAGCCACCAGGAGGAGGGAAAGAGAGACAGGGACATAGGAGTATGGGTTGTAAGCGTGGTGAGGTGGATGACAAATTTGGGGCAGTTTGCAGCGGAGGGAGAGTGTGTGCTTAGAAATGGGAGTTCGGTGGCACCATGAGTTCACTCTGCGAGGGCTTCGGGACGCTCTGTGCTGTGCTCCGGAGAGCTGAACAAGGAGGATGGTTGTGGTGGTGGTGGGAAGGTGGGGAGTGGAGGTGGCGATTCAGCCTGAGTTTGAGGAGGCGAAGGATACCTCCAAAGCCGCTGGTGCCAAGCTATGTGGGCGGGAGTGGGAGCTTAAATCTGCGTGGCTTGCAACGCACGTTGCTTTCGAGGTATGATCTTTACTAAGAGTTGCAGGGGAAAAAAAAATCTGGCAAGAGTCCCAGCGTTTATAACAGGTCTGTTCCTTGATAGGCTAAATAGAACCCTCGCCCAAGCTAGGAACGTTTCTTCATAATGTTTACTAGAAACTGGGGTAAATGTGTCTTTGGTAAAATCATGATATGCTATGACGAAAACCTCTTTGACTCTAAAACTAGTTTCTTTATAACATTGTCCTGGGTTATGGAGACCCAGGAGCAGATTCCTTGCTAAGTCAATTTAGAAACATTTCAAGCAGACATTTGAAACACTTGCATGTAAAAAAACCTGGTGTTTTTCCGTAGAGCTGTGCTTTGTCCGAAGCTGATTTTGATGTATTTTTATTTCAAACAGATGACAATCTGTTTGACATTAATAGCTATACTCCAGGATGGGCAGTCTTCCTCTTAGTGATGTGTGCAGGAGAATGTTTTCAGTAGTATGATTGCTGTCATGTACAGATTTCAGTGTTTCAGATGGCCTGAGCAAATCACTAAAAACATATAAGTGAAATTTTGATTATTGGAAGGGCTTAATTAGGAAAGCAGTTATCCAGACACTGCCAGGAAGATGAGATAAAGTGAAATATTTACATTCAGAGTTATAAATGCATCAGTGGGAAGTAAACTATGTGAAGTCTTTATAAGAAATGGGTGGAAACTCTGCTAACTTGGAATACTCAAAGTGCTCTTGACGAATTGAATAATAAAAATTAAAAAAAAAGTCTCCCAGATATTTTGACTGAGCACCTATGAAATTGCCTCTGCAGGCTGCCCATACAGCTCTATTTATTTTGGGAAGCTAATAACTTACTGCAGACATTTAAAAAAATAGACTCATTTGTCTTTTATCTAGTTTGAAAAGTATATTTTTTAATCTGACAGAATCTTTTAAAAAATTTCAGAGACCCTGGGCATAGCAACATAGCAAAACATGCCCTACTATGTTCTTAAAAAGGCATGGGAAGTTTTGAACATTGAAATGTGCAAATACAAAAGAAAGAAAAGAAAAACAGAAAGAAAAAAGAAAATAGATTTTCCATTCAAATTTGATTGTTTCTTCAAAAATTGAAGGCTAAGAAAAATTCCTAATAGGGCAATAATGTGTCACTATAATGGAGAAGTACTTATCAAAATCAAACATTTACAATGAACTTTTGTATGTGAAATGCAAAAAAAAGCTTTAAGAAACTTGACCCCTCTTTGTAGTCCACAGAAAAAATGTCTATTGTTCTCTACATTTTTTATTCTCAATTTTTGTACAAATCTTTGATTCTTTGGTAGATGGATTCAAGGTAGTTTATTTGTTTACTTATTTATTTCATCTTTTAAATTGTTTTTCTCATGTGGTTACCTACATTATTTTTGACCTGGTCACTTTTACAAATTACAATATTAATCATGTGCCATTTTTGAAAATGTACACACTATTTTTGACATATTATATAGGAAATTGCTGTTGACATGATGACATAGCAAAACTGCATGACAAAAAACACCATCTTCCAATTTGGCTCTGCTGAGGACCAGGCCTAGAACCTTAAATATCTGAAGACATTCGTAAACCAGAATAAAAGCTTTTTGCTTTGGCTGTTTTTTCCAGCATGTCTATCACCTTAGATGTGTCATGTGTTAACAGCAGAGTAGAAACAATTGCTCCTTGATGAGAATCCCAGAGGGTAACCACTGGTGGAAACTTGGAGAAAATATTTTTTGGTCTGGACTGGCTAAAATATTAGGCTACTCTGAGTTGTTTTAATGATCCAGTCTCTGGGTTCCTTGATGTTTGATAAGAAAGACCTGACATGACCTCACCACAGTTATCATGTGTACTAGATGAAGGATTGGCAGGAAATGTCTCAAACATGAAGCTGTGATTTCAATACTATGTAGATTTACTCTACTAATTTTATGAAACTCCTTGTCTTCTGGTTGGGAAAGAATAACCAAGTCTGGAAAACTAGATGTTATTACTCTAAGAGAGGAAAGATAACAGTTTCATTTGATAACCAGGGTGGGAAGGGGAGTTTCAGATAGCCAGATTTTCTTTTCCCTCCTAACAGCAGTTAGTACCTCCCACTATACATTTTAAGCTGTTCTGGAAGTGAAAGTGAAAGCCATGGACTGAGTCACACGATAAATGCAAAAGGTGTTGTCACCTTTGCCCTGCTTTAAGCACAATCATTTATTGGTTGATTGACACAAATGTACAAGCAGCTCCCTGGTTCCGAGGAAGAAATTTCTCTAGTCCAGGAGAAATCCTGTGCAGAAGTCCTTGAGGGCATATTTCTTCACTGACTAGACTGCCTCAACCTGTTTTCTAGCCTCACACTTAGAAAGTATAGAATAGAGAGTTCCTCTGCTTTGCTACAATCATATAAAAATAAAAGATTTGAGATGTGAGAGAAAGAGAAGAGCAAGAGATGACACCGAAGCAATGGAAGAATAGACCATGAAGTGGGGTGAGCCCACCTATAGGAGGAACAAGTCTGGGGAGAAAAAGGGGACAGTGTCAGATAGCTGGAGCCCAGCTAGGAATATGCTGTTTAAAATGCCTGTTAGACACTAAAGTGGAAATGTCAAGTAAGCTATTGGTTTTATGGGTCTGGAGTTCAGAGGATAGGGCTGGCCTGAGGATAAAAAACCGAGAGCCGAGGGCAACTTACAGATCATTTTGATATAGCAATCACAGAACACCCAATTAAATTGCATCTCAGGTAAACAACAAATAAGTTTGAGTGTAAGTATGTTTTAAACATGACAAGGGACATTCATATATTAAACAGTAATTGCTGTTGAATTCTACTTTAACTGAACGTCCTGTATACTTTTTTTTATCTGGCAACGCAACATTAAAGAAATCTTGTGGTGAGATGGCCAGCTTCTGATACAGGTATTCCCAGCTCCTGTATTAGGAAGAGAATCATAGACCTATTTTCTAGCCCTTGCCCCTTTAAACTTCTGTTCTAGCTCTGCTGCCATCCCATCTGCAGCTCCGAATGCTGGATCCCGAAAGAGTGCGGGCCTCTTGGTTCTCTAGAATCTGCATAATCCAAATCACTAAGCCTCTCACACGGGGATCCAGTAAAAAGGAAAAGGGAGGGAGAAGGTGAGTAGGAGTGCAAAACAGACAAGAAAGACTTTATTTCCATAGAAGCCCACACTCGGCTATTTCTCAGGGGACTCTCCCTTGCCTTATCACTTGGCTCTTAAATTCATCTGCTTGACTGGCAAACCAAGCTAACAAGGTTGTGCTCTGTCCCAATTCTTCACTTTTTTCTCCTCTGGAATAACTCTCCTTTTCTGTGGTTCTCTTCTGGGTTTTTTTTTTTTTTTTTTTTTTTTACAGTAAGTATGTGAAGATTCTGTTTCTTTGGAACTGTTTTAAATTAATCCCCTCAAGAATTCATGGGTGAATCATTCAGAATGACTCAAGAGCTTAGCTTATTATTTTTTTTAAACAATTTAAATTTGCCAGTGACTTAAGCATCCCAAATTAGATCAGTCTATTTTATTTTATTAAACTTTTCACATCAAGAAAATGATTAGGTTGCTCTAATTTTGAAAGTGAAACACATACATTTTCTTCCGATCTATTTTATCATCCTTATCTCATGACAAGGTAAAATGACAGGGATAGAGGTAACATTTCTGTACGTTGATTAAGGTTTTTAAAAATTTTTGTTCAAAGCCATGATTGACTGAAATAAATACTCTAGTCAAAAATAGGATTAGAAAACAATGTAATCCATCAGGATCTGGACAATGATCATTTTAATGTAAAATGTTTAGTTTCCTAAAAGCATGCTTACCCAAGAGAAATGAACTCAGAGAGTGGTAATCCAGATTAACACAGCTTTAAGGAACCAGATTGTTTTAAAACAGAGCCGAAATAGATTAAAGAGTATTAACTCATCACATCTCACAATATTATCTGATGACATTTTCCTGGCCTGCTTCCCTAGTAGTGTTTTTTTCTTTTTTTCTTTTCTCTATCCCCATTATTACTGTTCAAGAGTAAAGAACTACTCTGTGAACATTTGCCTGCTTTAATAATCATACTGTGACAGCGTTCTCACTCAACCTCCACTTACATCTGTAGTGTGTATTTCCAGGAAAGAGACAATATACTGTAAATTTGAAACACTGAATACAGGACAATTATGTAATTAGCTGAAGGTTCTTTACAAAATAATAAAATGCATAATTGAATGAACCTCTCTTCCTTTTTTCCTTTCTTCCTACAGCTGTTCTCTAGCTATACTGTATTAGCTAAATTATATTAAAAGGCCATTGCTTTTTTGCACGGAGATGAAATTGACTTTGTTAAAACAACTGTGTACCCCTTTAAAAGTATTGAGACTTATTGTGCCAAACCAAGATGAAGATGTTCCTTTAGGATTGCTTTT